GTAAAGACAATTTTGCAGAGCAGGCCAAGCTGGTGGTGGGCCCAAAGAAGGGTAAAACTTAGGTGAGGTGAACAGGAAGGGGGGTGTTCTCTATGGATTTAAATGAAGATAAAGCATCTGAGTGTACCAGCTTGTTGGGGCTTGGATATGACAAGACCTTGATGGCTGGGATGACCCTGTGCATGGGTGTACAAAATAAGAAGTATGGTTATTAAGGGAATGGTGCAGTTTTGAAAGAGCCATGGGGGAGTAGCGTTGTGTGTAGGACAATTTTTCAGGCCAATTAATGTTTTAGGACAATTAATCTCACAATAGAGGTTAGGCAAGATTTCTGGAAGAGAAAGATAAGAGAGAAAGAAAAAGACACACAAGTACCATTATATTAGGAAATAAAGCTAAGATTCTAGTAGAAAGAGTTAGATGCCAAAAATGTATAAATATAAAAGGCCAGAAAAATATTTAGGACTTGGTGAATAAATGTAGAGGGAGAAAGAAAGGGAATATTTGAGAATGATTCTTCATTAATTAATTAATGTAGGCAATCCCAGAAGAAAATAGGAGGCACTAAATTGAGTTACACTAACATATTTCAGGTAGCAAGGAGTTAGGTAGCACTAAATTGAGTTACACTAACATATTTCAGGTAGCAAGGAGTTAGGTAGCACTAAATTGAGTTACACTAACATATTTCAGGTAGCAAGGAGTCACTAAGGTGCTGATGTTCAGATGGGAACTAGAAAGATGAGGATGTTGCACAGGACTGACACTAACTCTGGGGACATCGAGCCTTCACCAATGTATTAGCCAAGGGGATAAGTGCATGATTCGGTAACTCTAGGAGCTACTATAGGATGACAACAGGGAAAAAAGTCTTATTTCTACATTTGGATGATTGCAGCAGGGAACCAAAGATGAAAGATAATAGAGTGACCAGAAAAGTGGAAGAAGAAAAAGTTCAATGTAGCGTCACAGAACCAAATAGAAGAGTTTCAACAGCAATGATCGCAGCAAATATATGTCATTTCTATTATATGTCAAGGACTGTTAAAAACTTTACATATATTATTTTATTTCATTTTTGTCCTCACAATTCTATGAAGTTAAGAGTAAGTGGTTAAAAACTACAAAAAGCAAGTATAGAATATGTGATTGTTGAAAGAGCAAAAGTCATACAATTGTAGCAGTCATAGAAGTTAACATTTACTGTTTGCTGGGTGATGCCCATTGGGCTATTTTACATTCTGTTCTACGAGGTAACTATTAGTATCACCACTTTTATAAGAGAAAATGGAGGTTCAGCAAAGTTCAGTAACTTCAAGGTGTGTGAGAACAAGCTAAGATTAGAAGAATAATCAAAGATCCCCATTTTTTTTCTTTGATATTTGTTAATACTTGTGAGTTTTACGTTAAAAAAGACTTATAAGTTACGTAAATGTGCCCAAATAATTAATTCATGAATATATATCCTACTCTGCAGGGAAGACTGATTTCATAACTGAAAAATTTCAAGAGGGATTAGATGTTTTCCTTCTGGTTGCACAGGTAGTACATAGTTGCTGTGGGTATCAAAGTCTTCCCCATATGTTGCCAGTGTGTTCTAGCAGCTTTGATTCTTTTCAAGAGCAGTGGTCTACATAATCTGGTGTCAGTTGTAAAATTTCTTATCTGTGTCATGATTTCTTCTTACCACATACACAACATTCTTTTCACAAATTCAAATTTTACTTAATGCTATTTTGGGAAGCACAATCAGGAATCAAGAGCTAAAATAATGTGCTAGTTTTCATTTATGACTTTCTTTCAGCATACAGAGAACAATAGCAATGGTGGAACTCACACAATTTCAATGTAAATCCTAAACATGACCATGTAGAATATTTCATTGTAGTGACCTCTAATTTGTATATTATAACAGTTAAAATAATTTTAAAAAGGAGAGTATGGCAGGAGTCCTGAAGAGATAAAATTAATAGATGCTGCATTTCTTTGGAAGATATTTTACAGGTTTTGGCAAGATTCTGTGTAGTACTGTTCCGCTGAGGAATAGCCTGCTGAGCTGCTAATGATAATAATGTGAGATGTTTGTCAATAGAGGACTGGAGTTAAGTCAAGAGTGGTTTTGACCTGCCCATTGAATGCAGTTAGCTAGTACATTTTTATGTTTCTTTTTTCTGAAATTCTACATTAATATGATTTATATAAAATTGTTTGATTCTCTCCTTGGAGCCAGATACTGAATTCAAAAAAGGTGGTTAGACTCATTTTTGAAAATTTTGCAAACCTACTTTTCTTTATTGCTGTTTTGGGATTTGCCTTATATTATTTCATTTGGAATAATGATATACGTATAAACATTTATGTTGATTTTGAAACAGTTTAGAGGAACCATACTTCAAGTGTGTTATTTAAAACAACTTCCCTCTTGTTTTCAGTCCTTAGTGGTACTTTGATTAATCTTTACTATATACAATGTCTCATCCTTCCAAAGCTGATTTCAAATTCAAATTTTATTTAATGGCATTTTGGTATTAATGCTATTTGATTTCTTATGGGTAACATAAGAATGGCGAACCTCATAATGAGGGAAACCTTTGAAGTTGGACTTTTCAAATTCTTAATTTTCTTTACCACGATATTATGAATTTCAGAAAGTAAAACTTTCTTTTTTTTTTTTTGGTGGGGGTCTGAATTTCAACCAGAAATACAGTCTTCGTGTTTCAACTTTCCAGTGTGTATGTTTATAGGTTTCAGTATCTAATAGTGTGTCAGGCCACTATGTTTAAAATGGAGGTAGGCCAGCCATAAAGTGACTTTTAAAGGTGTTCAGCCACATATGTTTCAGAGATTTAATAACAAGTACATAGTAGAACTCTATAAAAGTTTTATTATTTTATATATTCAGGTAGTTTCTTGGGTGCCATATCCCTAGGCCTTTTGGCTGTTGCCTTTTATAATAGTAATAGGTTATACTAAAGATTATCATTTCTGATTTGTACTCTGCCTAGTACACTATATGGATACCATTGTAACAAAAAGTATGCTATGTGTGTATTCCAACCAACATTTACTGAACACCTGCTTATACCTAGTATTGTGCAAAGTTGTACAAATATTTTCATTTCTTTGATGACTCTCTGGTGCTGGCCCCAACCCTCCCTCAACCACAGCAGTAGATAGTGAGAATAGCGTGAGATAGTGATAGTTAACTGATCCTCAGAATTATAAATCAGTGACATATCTAAGACCATACGGCTAATGAGGCACAGGGCAGAGATTGCATCTTGAAGTCTTCTGACACCATGCCCTGTGCTTGATTAATGCTAGGATTCTAAACAAGATTATCTTCCAAACTGCCGATTTTACAGATGAAGAAATTAGGTCCTGAAATGATGAGAAATTGCCCGAAGTTCTAATATTAATTATTCTTTCCTTTCTGAAATACTAGGCATTCTCCTAGCACCTCCAAGTGGTTTTAGAAGTAAAAATGGACCTACTCCCTCGTATATCTTCACTAATGAGACCATAGGAATAGTATCCTATGATATTATCATAGGATAGTATCATACTATCTTCCTAATGAGACCATCATTTCCACTAACTGGGAGTGATTTCCACCTCTAATCCACTCTCCTCCCCATCCTACCTTTTCCCTGAGGTCCAGATGTTTTTCTCTAGCTATTCCTGAAATTTCCCCTGAATGTCTCAGGGGAAAAAACTTAAAATGCATTGAAATTGTTAACTTCATAAATTTCTTCCATAAATTTTCTGACTCCTCTTAAAATACTGGTGTTTCTATGAATTCCCTTTTTAAAATAATTACCTGATATTTCTCTCTGCTCTGACTGCATTACCTCCTTCACTTCCTTGAACTTAGGTTCTATATGCTTTTGATTCCAGAATTTTCAGTTTTGAGCTCTCTCCTGAGTTTAGGATCCATGTTTTTCGGAAGCTTGCTTGATATATCTCTCTGAGTATACTATATGTTTCTCAAATACAATAAGTTCTATTCAAAACTTATATTTTCAGCCATTTCCAACAGTCTCTCATTTTTGCAGTATTGACATTGATTAAAAATTTTCCATGCATTCAGGCTCCAAAGCTAAAATATTTGTGTGACTTTTTACTCTTCCCTAATCTCAGTTCTCACATTGTCATGGTATAATAAGATTGTCTAAAATGCCACTCGAATTTGGCTTCTTATTTTTGTTATTGGTTCCATTCCCTTCATTGAAGCAATGTCTTAATCTCCAACCAGCGTCTTCCTACTGTAGTCAAGTCCCTTTTACAGGAATATAAAGAGCATTTGCTGTGTTACTGGAATGTTCTAGTAACTGTACTAAGGTGAAAGAAGAAAACAAAACAAATCAAAAAATCCAACCCTCGAATTTGGATGGCTTGTATTATAGTAGGTAAATTTCCATGACTTTTCCCACTTTTAATTATATTCATCTCCCTCTCTTTCTATCACTTCTACCTTTCTTTTTCTTGATGATCAAACTCAATACAATTAATTTGAATTGAGTAACTTTTATCCATAGCTGTCGTGCACAGTGTTCTCATTTATTGATGATACTTACTCAAATGTCATTCTCAGTTTTTTCAAATATGAAGATACGAAATGTCAGTATTACTGGGGCATTACTGAACCACTCAAAAAGTGTGATGCCTAGTTTTGGGTTAGTTGAATGAGATTTCAGCAAATCATAAGAAGGCCTAGAGGTAATTTCAGAAAATCATAAGAAGGCCTTGAGGTAAATTAAATGGTTATAAAATACGAGAAAGAACTGCCATATGTTTGGGCAGAATACATGTTAAATTCGATTATGTTCCTCAAGTACATATAAATTAAATCTGTGCCTAAAATAAGTTTTTAAACAAAATTATTTCCTTAAGATTCTGAAGATATTTTAAAGTGAATTTTTAGTGTGCTAGAAAATGTTTTATAGTTTCTTATAAAAGTGGTTGTCAGACCTAATTTAATACTTTTCTGTTGCGGATAGGTACACACTGGTGGATATATTGCGTGCCATCTTACTTTCTTTAGAAGCCATGATTGAAGATCCTGAGCTTCAAGTGAATGGATTTGTTTTGATCATAGACTGGAGTAACTTCACTTTCAAGCAAGCCTCTAAACTCACACCAAGTATGCTGCGATTAGCTATTGAAGGCCTACAGGTAGGATATGCAAATTACCTACTTCCTTGGTCTCTTGTGTTTGACTTCTTTTGTCTAATATGTTAGAATAACAAGATGTCTTATTTACAGAATAACAATAACAAAAATAATTGTTGTTGTTGAGCACAAACATTAAAATACCAACTGAACAAAGGATTATAGAAGAAACACTGAAGGATGAGAGTTTGTGACACTGATACAGTGCTCACTGTCTAAACATAAATACGAGTAATAAATTGAGATTTTTAATTTTGAAAATCAGAACAAGCAGCATTTTTTAGATTGTAATGATTAGCTATTTAGGCTTGTTTTTTGTTTCTCTTTTCCGCGTACATTAATTAGTTAAATATTTTCTTCATTATTTGATTTAACCTGGTGAATTTGGGATCTGATCAGCAATATGTTCAGCTGTTGGAACATCGATCAATATGTTTTTTGGTCTCTAAGATACAAAGACCATCTTTCTGAAATTTTCTTTAGACTTCATGGGTTTTTTTTTTGTGAGTGGAAAGAGCTGTCACATGGAATTTATATGGGAATGGAGCTTCTTCCAGTGAATAATATTTAACTACTTGGGAATTAGAAGATGGGAAATATATTATTATTTAGTAGTCTGTCATAAATCTGCTTTTGTTAAGTTGTTTTTAACTTCCAGGACGTCCTTCTATTCTCTCTCTTTGCTTTATGTTACTTTGCATATAATACTTACGGAATCGATTTTAAACTTGTAAAAAATATTTGCAAGTTAATCCTTGAGTGACATCATTCATTAGACCAGGGCGTTAATGTTGAATAAGCACAAGTCATCTAGATCTTTACTCATTAGTAATTTCTGACTGCATCTATACACACCTAAATTGATGACAGAGGACCTCCCAAAAATGGGCCACTTTTCTAGGTGCTGGAAATCTTTGATTTCTGCCTCTGGACTGAATAAGACACACTGATGTTTCTTCTTCATATAGGTTTTTCCTGATGTAGGCTTCCTGACTTGCTGTTGGTGAGTCAGCCTTGCTCCTGTCTTATCCTAAACAATGTTTTTTGAAAACTTCACAGGAACAGTTAATACAGAATGGTAGAGAGCACAAGATAATGCATGTTTGTAAATGTACATGTCATATAAAATCAGTCCTAACTTTGCCCTATTTCCAGCAATGTATATGATGTTCTTCAGTTTGTGAACAAGATTGGTTACCACCCACTGTGTTACCTAACACAGAATAGTAACCTAGCCTTTTGTAATTGTTATCCCTGTTTAACCTGTGTCTTCTCTTTGCACTAAGGCTAGGCTAGGCCTTCAGTTCCATGAAGGACTGGAGAACTCATATTTTTTTCCCAAGAAATTAAAAAAAAAAACTTAAAGAATAGATTTAGTATCTTGCTGTTTTCCAACCTACCTTATGGAGTTATTTAATAATAATGTGATAAGTCATTGCAGGAGAACAAACTGACAACTCGGAGATGTTTGGGAGCTTCCTTGTTAGCCATAACCACTATCAGAAATTTTTTAAGTGCCACATGTAAACACGACAGGAACTACACTTAGATTAAGCCTCTGTGCATATGTCTAGAGAAGAAAATAATCCCCATCGCTGCATGGGCCTGTGTTGGCTGCACATTTGGAGCTGCCTTCTCTCTATTCCCCACAAATGCCTCAGTCTCTTTCTCCTTTTTCTCAGAACACAAGACAGAGTAAGCAGGATTGATTTTTCCTGATTCCTAATTAAGAAGCCACTTACAAGAAGAAATCTCTTCCTGGGAATAAATTTGATGTGTTGCTAACCTTTAAACTCATTTTTGTTTTCAGTTGAAATTGACTTTTTAATGCTATATAGTTACATCTATACCTATGTCTGTGTCTATATCTGCATCTGTGTCTACATATGTGTATCTAAAAACAATGGTAATTTTGAATACGAATATAGAATTGCTAGAAATGTTCTGCTGTGACATGCATGATCTCATATTTAGTCTCATAGTGAAGTAACACTTTCTGACTTTTTAAATCAAGTTTCTATTTTACTTTGCATTTACTATATGAGAAATATTGTGTACCACTATATGTTTCATTCAGAATATAAATAAACATTTTTTCAAGATCAATATATGACCACAAAATGTTTGAAGTAAAGATACACCCACAGTTTTAGGTTGCTAAACACAGCCACCACCATACCAAGATCACCAGCTCCACAAAAGTAGTAAAGCCCTTCTAGTTAACCTAGTCAGGAAAATGAAGAAATGAGAAGATTTAAAATAAGTCAATTAGAATGTATGCTATAATTCTGCTATCATGTCACTTTTATTTAGGCGAACATACAGAATACCATACGGAATTGAACTAAAAATAAGAAAGTCTACCAGTCTGACAGCTAGAGAGAAAACTTACGTGCATTATAAATGGGATGTAACTCTGTTTTGAAGACTCCTTGTCTCTCTTTCTCTTGCGTTGGCTATAACCTATCAATCCAAATCATGAACCTACTTTTTTCTTAAGCAAAAGAGTATTTGAAGTGACCTGGCTAGAGATAGCACCCGATACCTTGTATAAAGATACAAGAACCACTATTATAAGTCCATACATAAATATAGTATGAGATGAATTAAGAGACAATGTGGAAGGGTAGAATACAAAATGTTCTAGAGGCAGACAGATCAGGATGTGGATGGCAACCCTGCCACGCATCAAATACTTGGGCACTTGTTTGAATCTCGGTCTACTCATTTATACCAATTTTCAAGTTTTATCATATTGGAAATGATACATCTTGTACCTGGCAGGTAATAGCAATGATTGAAATAATTGATCTGGATCAGCTCATTTTTTCAGGTGGCATATTTTTCTGGATGTGCACTGCCTTTCTCACAGTCAGTGACTACATAAACTGTGATGAATTAAAGTTGATTGACTTTGGGAATCTGAATATTATCATATTCTTTTGGTGCTCAGACTATAGATACACAGACTGTATTCTTATCTATAATTTTTCTGTAGTTAAATAGTATCTAGATATTTTTATGTTGGATGGCAAATAAAATACATTTTCATGGTAGAAGCAAAAAATGAGATGTTTCACCTGGTGAAATTTAATCTTTGTTTCTTTTGGAAGAACCTCCAGGCATAGCTGGAAAGGTGGGGATTATGGAGACATCCTTGGCTTTGAGAGTTGAGCAAAAGTTTGCTAAGTGGACAAAAACAGTAAGGGCATACTGATCAGAGCAACACTGGGGACGTACTCTGAATAATCATGCAGCTCTAGGGGGCTGAAAGTACAGGATGAATCTGTTTTGACATGGCTAGAATGAGAAGTGAATTGGAAAATAACCATAGGTGAGCCTGGGAAGGCAGGCTGAAATCTGGCTCTATGGCGTAAAAGACTGCATGCTTTATGGTGTGGTTTGTGCTTTCCAAATACATGGAGGCTTGGGACAGAAAAGTGTCCTAATTACTTCTCTGCTTTGGAAAGATCCATTAGATCAAAGGAAAGAGAAGTTAGATCTGGAGAACCCCACATTAACTTTGAAATAATTCTAATAGTTTCATTTTATAAGATACGAAATGAAACTTTAAGGAGTCTAAGATGCTTAATCAAATTTTCTCAGCTGACCTCAAGGTTTGAGTTTTGGTTGTCTGACTCCAAAGGCCAATGTCTTTCATGAATTGTGTTTCTATTGTTTCCAGGCCTGTGTCTAAGAAACAGTAGGTAGGCTGAGATCAAAGTGACTTCTTCCACCAATACTCAAATTCTCACATATTAATATAGGTTAAATTTATTTATTGTAATGGCCAGTACAGTTCCAACTAAAGAAGTCACAAATGGCTGCCTGTGGCTTTGGACCTTTTTGACACCATGTGGCAGAACCATTTTCTTTTTCCAGTGAGCCATTCCTTAAGTGACTATCAGCCTCCCAGTTCTCCAGGATAAAGCATGGAGGCCAACAGAAAGCCACTTTGCTGATCACCAAAGATACCTTTTATTAATATAACAACAAAGTGATAAACCATTCATAATACTGGTCCAAGGCAAGTTTGTATGCTTTCTCTGTGCAAAAAATCTTCAAATGTTTTCAAATATAAAAGACAGCAACCATTTTTACCAACAAATTGTATTTCTTTAATAGGTAAGGCATAACATCAGATTTTTTTGTGTGGAAGGAAAGTATTCAGGGTGGTAAAAAGAAAAAGGAAGAAAGTATTTAGCCTTCATATGTCAGAAAAGAAAAAGAGAAAATTGTCTTGTTACTTACAAGAAGTTAATTGATTAGGGTAGTCATAGAAACAGGAAGTTTCTTAGAAAATCAATACAAGATTAAGTGAATGTGACTGGTAGACTAAGGTATCTGCCTGGGAAGCTAACGAAAACACAAATTGTTTAGAAATGCTTACAACAGTTTAGACTGAATTTACGGTAAAGTTACGTGCTTTTTTTTTGTTTGGGGGGGAGGGTTATTCTTTCTCTTTAAAAAAAAATACCCCAAAACTCTTTATTAATGAGAAACTTGGATTCTTTTATAAATACCGAATCTCCCAATTTGTAGATTTTTTTAAACTTGTTTTAGATTTACCTCTGTTTTCTGTTGCCCTCGAGACATATTTATCTGTTTTTCTCCCTTAGCTCTGCCCTCCTGGGTCTCCTGTGCTTTTGCCTTCACAATTTCACAGAAATCCCTGAACTCCATCTGCCAATAAGTACATAATGTAGTCAAGACATGTCTTGCTGGCAAGGGGTTTGGCTATAACAAGGGATTGAATAGCTCTTTGAATTGCTACATGAGATTCAGATGTAGGGCCATCACAAAATGCCTAAAATAGTGCCAGATATTTTAAGAGCCCTTAATAAGTGGGACTTGTGACAGAATAAAGAATATGGAATCAACTCACTGGCCCTTTCATTTAACTCAAGGGTCCAGTGTTTCCAGCAGCCACCAATCTGCTAGCTCGTGTGTAAGGCAAGAAGTGCTGCTGCTACACATTCTGGCTCTAAGCATTTGGAAGCCCA